GATCTGGCGAGGTCGGGCCTCGCCCAGCGACCTTGCTAGATCCGGCGAGGTCGGGCCCCGCCCGACCATGGTGAGGCTCGCCCTCGCCGCGGCCTCCGGCGAGGGCTCGAGCCTCGCCTTGGTCGGCCTCGCCCGCCGACCTCGCCGATCCGGCGAGGTCGGGCCCCGCCCAACCATGGCGAGGCTCGCCTTCGCCGCGGCCTCCGGCGAGGGCTCGAGCCTCGCCTTGGTCGGGCGAGGCCCGACCTTCAGGCGAGGTCGGGCCTCGCCCGACCATGGCGAGGCTCGCCCTCGCCGCGGCCTCCGGCGAGGGCTCGAGCCTCGCCTTGGTCGGGCGAGGCCCGACCCCGCCGAATCTGGTGAGGTCGAGCCTCGCCATGGTCGGGCGAGGCTAGCCCTCGCCGGCGAGCCCGCCGCCTCGCCGGGGCGGCGAGGTCGAGCTCGCCGGCCTCCGGCCTCGGCGGCCAGCGGACCGGCGACCGGCCGAGAGGGGAGAAGGGACAAAAAAAGTGGAAAAAAAAAGAAAAAAAAGGAAAAAAAATAAAATTTCAAAAAAATATTAAAATATTATTAAATTTTCCACGTCAGCGCCACGTTGGCGCCGGTGACCGGCCGCCGGCCGGCAGGTGTCCATGTCAGCAAATTCCGGTCAAAATTGACCGGAATGACTAAATTGGCACAAAAACAAAAGATTTAGGACTGAATTGGCACCAATTTAAAAGGTTTAGGACTTAATTGGCACCAAAAAAAGGTTTAGGACTTAATTGGCACCAAAAAAAGGTTTAGGACTAAATTGGCACCAATGAAAAAGGTTTAGGACTGAATTGGCACCAAAAAAAGGTTTAGGACTAAATTGGCACTAATGCAAAAGATTTAGGACTTTTTTGGCACTTTTCCCCGAGTAAAAGTTGGTGGGTTTTTTATGATACTGAAAAAATTTTGGAGTAAAATTGGGACTGGACGATAGAATTGGGACATGACTTAAAGTTAGGATTTTGCATGGGACAAAAAAAAGTTTAGGGTAGAATTTGTACTGGACCTAAAGTTAGGGATTTTTTATGGGATAATTTGTTTTTTTAATAGAATTGGGACTAAACATAAAGTTATGATTTTTTTAGAGTATTAGGCTTTCAAGCTGTGGCTATCGACCCCAAGCGAGTGCATTATTGCTTGCCTGGGTCAATGGTCCTTTTCTTTTTAAATTTCAAACCTTTTCTATTTTTCTTTTTATAATATACTCATTAAAAATAATCCAAAAGAACTGTAAGATGCTACATCAATGCCCTGTCATCGTTTAACGATCACTTGACGGCCCCGCCATACTCATTAAAATTCCCATGAAATGAAATGGTAAACTTTAATATTTCCATGAAATCTAGTCCCTACATTGCTATAATTCCTATATTAAAGTTCGTCTCCTAAATAAGATTGGACAACAGGATTATATTGATGGAATTTAATTTACTAGTAACTTAACCGTAAAGGAAGCGATCCTCACATGAAAATGAAAGAATCTAGGGTAATGAATGATCATGTTCTTGGACGTTGAGACTTGACAAACTCGTTATGGCAGCTCATCAAATAATTCACTTTTTCTTTGTAGAATCTTGATCTCTGTCTTCTATCACCCCTGTTCTCATTTCTACACGGAAGAAATGAAATCACAAACCCTATCCGCTGTCAATTTAATGCCGCCGATGGCTCCGCCCAACCACCTACGAGCGCTACCAAGTGCATGCTGGCATAAAACCAACCACGGAACGCATGTCATCTACGACATAAGTACACACATCGAGACAGAGGGTGAGACAAAAGATTGGGAGAGAAGTGATGGTGGCTAGCGACCATCGCCAAGGCCGACTGAGGCGGGGGGAAGCAGCCTTGTGAGAGTAAACCCGGCTACCCCCAAAATGTGGATGTCGGTCCCCAGCAAATGCATCATTGCTTGCAAGGGTCGATGGTCTTTTCTTCTTCTTATTTTAATTTCAAATTTTTCTATTTTCTATACTCATTAAGAAAAGGTTAAGTGCACCGGAAGTTTTAAAACTTGTCATGAAGATGCAATTAAGTCCTAAAACTTGTAAAAGTGTAATCAAGTCCTAAAACTTGTCCAATTGGTGCAATCGAGTCCTTCCGTTAACTCTATCCAATCTGATTAATAGAAAATGCTGATGTGACCTTTTTAAAATATTTTCTCTCTCGTATGCGGCATCAAGATTAACTAAAGCACTAAAACGACGTCGTTTTGAACACAATCTCAATTTTAACCTAACTTTAGTTAAATTAGATTAGAAAATAAGAAAGCTAATTAAAAAAAAAAGAAAACAAAAATACGATGTTGTTTTAGTGCTTTAGTTAATCTTAACAACACGTAGAACGCCACGTACGAGAGTGAAGATAATAAAAAAAACCACGTTAGCATTTTTCATTAGTCAAATTGGACGGAGTTAACGGAAGGACTTGATTGCACTAATTTGACGCGTTTTAGAATTTGATTGTATGTTTTGAAAGTTTTAACACTTCATCGCGTGACAACTTTTAGGACTTCTACTACACTTATCTCTTTAAAAAAATCAAAAGCAACGTAAGTGGCTACATCAACGCCATGGCACCATTAACGATCACTTGACGGCCACGCCATACTCAATAAAATTCCCATGATGAAGTCTCCACCCTACATTGCTATAAATCCGCTATTAAAGTGTGTCTCCTAAATAAGAATGGACAACAAGGTTATATTGAAGGAATTGAATTTACTAGGGACGTAACCATGAAAGAAGCGATCCTTATATGAAAATGAAAGAATCTAGGGTAATCAATGATCCACATGCTTGGACATTAAGACTTTTTTTTTTGTCAAAAGAAAATTTCATTAATTTGTCGTAATCAAACATGAGAGGGGAACATAAACATATAAAGCTTTTAAATAAAGCAAATCCCAAAAGAGTTGCAGATCAAAACAAAACCTTGAAAACAAAAGAGTACAACTTGTAGCTATAAGTACGCTCTTATCCCAAAATACCAAATCTGTCATAGCAGAAAAAAGTAACGATCATCGAAACCGTCAATGATGGACGCACGTTGAGATCTTCTCCTCTAGAAACTAGGGCTTGTAGTGCGCGCCTAGGTTCGACGTCCTTAATACCATCGGCTTACGGAGATGACGATGACAACGACGACAACATATTGAACCACTACAGATCGAATGCCTTTAGGAAACTCCCTTATCTAGATTTAGATCGTAGATAAAAGCTCTCATATATAGATTTATGCTTAAATTAGAAGATGAGAGCTGCCTTTGCGGGAAAGTCATGGAACCACGTTTGGGGCATCTTGTTGGCTGGACCGGCGATGACGTTCTCACAAAAATTTCAACTGCAAGCAGATTTATTCACCATGACGAGCGAAGAAAAGCAACAACAACAAGCAAGAGAAGATGCCAAACAAGACAAAAAAAAAGACTCACAGATTAGATCGGGAGAGAAAAAAAAGGAAATCAAGGCCTAGAAAAAGAAAAAGGTAGAGCAAAGCAGGCCCTCAGCTTCAGAAATTGAAACCGAGAGCTTACGGTGAAGTTTCTTTCAGGGACGTTTTTTTTTGGGAGAGAGAGGGTTGCCGGCAGAGAGATTTACATGACTAATGTTAGCGATATTTGACAAGTTTGTTATCATAGGTCATCACATAGATCACTTTTTCTTCGTGGAATCTTGATTTGTCTTCAATCACCTTGTGCTAATTTCTACACAAAAGAATTAAAATTGCAAACCCTATCCGCTATCAATATAGTGTCGCCGACGGTTCCAGCCACCTGCAAGCGCCATCGAGTGCTTGCCGGCATAACATCGACCTCGACCGCGCCTCCAATCTTAAGCACAAACACCGAGATAACGGGTGGGTTTAAGAGATTGATAGAGAAGTGACGGCGGCTATCGACCAGCACCTATAGGTCGATTGCGGCGGGGCCAAGCAAACGTTTGCGAGCGTGAACCTGACTACCACCAAAGTGTGGCTGTTGGCCCCCAGCAAGTGGGTCATTGCTTGCATGGGTCAATGGTGCCTTTCTTTTTTCTTTAATTTCAAACTTTTTCTATTTTCCTCTTTTAATTAAATAATGCACTTATTAAAAAAAATTCAAAAGCAGAGTAAAATGCCACATCAATGCCCCGTCACCATTTAACGATCACCTAACGGCCACGCCATATTCATTAAAATTCCCATAAACTGTTACCATGAAGTCTCGACCCTACATTACTATGATTCCTATGTTAGAGCCCGTCTCTTAAATAAGATTGGACAACAGGGCTATATTGAATGAATTAAATTTACTGGTGACGTAATCGACATGGAAATGACATTTTGGGATAATCAGTAAACCCCATGCACGGACGTTGAGACTTGACAAGCTCGTTATCGTAACTCATTAAGTAGATCGATTTACTGGCGATCTACTTTATTAAAGTTCGTCTCATAATTAAGATTGGACAGTCGGGCTATACTGAAGGAATTAAATTTACTGGTGACGTAACCGGCACGAAAATGAAAGGATCTGGGATCCCCCATGCACGGACGTCGAGACTTGACGAGCCCGTGATCGCGCAGCTCATCAAGTAGATCGCTTTTTCACCGTAGAATCTCGACCTCCATCTTTTTATCACCCCCGCGTGCTCATTTCTACACAGGAGAGAAGCGAAATCCCAAAACCCTGTCCGCTGTCAATACGGTCTCGACCCTCTACTTCCATAACGTCTCGAATAAAGAATGAGTTGCAGACTATAGAGAGCTCAGAATATGCGAAACCTAGCTCGTGAAAAATCATGATATCTTCCCATGAAAACGAAACGACCATAGTAATCTACGAACCAAAAACATCGACCTCCCGCGAGGGGGTAGGAGATCTTGGCGAGCCCGTCACCGCAGCCCATGATCGGCCGGGACCGATGATTTGACTCGACACTATCTAGCTTTCTCCCCATCCCTGTCCCTCTCCCCCTCCCCCCTCTCTCTCTCTCCACTGTTATAAAAACGGCACTCGCTTGCTATGCCCAGGAGACACAAACGAGAGAAATCACAAACCCTACCCCGCGAAACCGGCCACGCTCGTTTGCCCCCTTCGAAGACGAGCTCGAGCTCGACCTCCTCGAGCTCTCCCTTCGCTCTTCCCTCTCGCTCGCCTCCCTCCCCGAAATTCGTCGCACGGCTTCGGAGCTCAAGCCCGCGGCCTCGGGCTCGTTTCTCCGCGCGTCATTTGATTCTGGGTTCTCGTCTCTCCTCCGAAAGTCTCGATTTTTTCCCGGTTTTCTTTCGACTCCTCCGATGTGTAATTAGGGTCGTGGTCTTCTCAATTGGGGTCTGTGTGTGCCGTAGGAATAGGGGTTGGCCGATTGTAAGATCCCAGTTGTTGGTGTCGGATTGGGTGTAGATTAGGGGTGGAAAGATCGAGTTTTGTTTCGTTGATTCGTGCTGTAATGAAGAGGGATGGGTTTTGATTAGGGTTTTGAGATGGATGGTATGCGTAGACCGTTCGATAGATCCAGGGAATTGGTCCCCAAGAAGCCCCGGTTGACGGAGGAGCTGGGCGCGCGGCCCTTTGCGCTGAGGCCCGGGGCGCCGGTCGCGAATCCGCCGCAGCCCAGGTTCAAATTGGCCGATAGAGAAGCGGAGGGCAATGATCCGAGCAGCGAAGCTTACCAGCCGCAGCCCCTGCCGCAGCACCAGCAGCACCAGGAGCTCGTGGAGCAGTACAGGACCGCGCTTGCGGAGCTCACTTTCAATTCGAAACCCATAATCACTAACCTGACGATCATAGCCGGGGAGAATTTGCACGCCGCCAAGGCGATCGCGGGCACCGTGTGCACGAACATTCTCGAGGTGAAAATCCAGTTTTACGATCAGTATGTGGCTGTTTGTTCCATTGATCTTTTTCTTCTTCTTTTATTTTTGCTCGAATTTGTACCAGGAAAGCCTACAAATAGTAAAAGCGGTCTCTTTTTGGCTTGTATTAGAAAAATGGATAAGTGAAACATGAAAATTCTTTGGAGTTTCTCCTTTTTCCTTTTCCCATCTTTCTCTGTGCGGAGTGGGATGCTCTAACTTGCCAGCCTTATACGGCTTTACTCTACACGTTGGACTCAATAAAAATGCCGCCTTTACCAGTTATTTCAGTGTCCCTTGAGGAACGCAGTGCTCTGACATATATGATATGGAATTCCTTAGTCCAGTGATTTGCATCATGTTCCTTTCTCCCGCAGTATTCGAGGAAAGAGAAAATCAATTACCAAGTTTGTGACTTGTTTTTGGAATTGTTGTTTAGTCTTTCATACGATACTAGAGACTACACTAAGCTAGTCTTCCCCATAATCAGTTATTGTTAGTACCTTTTTCTAGTGAGATGGGTGAAGCTTCATCACGAAGTTTGAGTCAGTTTTGCTGAAATTTGGTTCAGACTTTGTGACGAGTTGGACTACCACTATATGTTTGTAATACCAGCCCGATATATTGATTTGTTTCCTCATTTCTACTACTGCGGTTGAGCTTTGGTCTGTTATGGATTCACTTTGTTTCTGGTCTGTTATGGATTCACTTTGTTTCCTTGTCGAGCACCTTGCCTCTCTGAGAATGGTAGAAATGTGAGGGACCACTGTAAGGCAAAACCATGCCATGGCTGAGTGATATGTTAATTATTTGTTACAAATCTTTATGGTTAACTACTATTTGGGTTGTGGTTTGATGTTTTATCAACCTGTCCATGGAAAGCTAAAGAAAGATGAATAATGGTCAACTCTGCATGTGGCATTTAGATGTACTTGATCTCTCCTGAACCTCTCTCCCTCGCTCACCAAAAGAAAAAAAGAAGAAGAAAGAAAGAAGGAAAAGGCTTCTTCCATCTTTCAGGGGAAATATGGCTAAAGAAGCGAAGTATGATCAACTTCCATCTTTCAAGGGAGATGTGGCCCAAAATGGGCTCTTCAATGCTCGACTTGGGAGAGCTGATAAATGGTTTGAGTTTCCTGGTGTTTTAACATTATTCTTTGGGTTGCGGACGCATGCTATCAAGCAGCAACTGGGGTTTCACTTGAAGTTAGGAAAATCGTCGTTTGAAGTACTCTGTTAACATATTGTCTTGAATTAGTAGCTAAGTTTGTTTTACAGTCTTCTATACGGACAGAAGATTGGAAAATCTCTTTTTATTTCCTTAAGATTTCTAGTGCTAGTCAACATGATGTCATTCAGCAGTATGCATAAGAATTTTAGGATTCTGTAACAACTCTATTTTTATGCCTATGAAGGTTGTGTGTACTGACAATTATATGGTCTCTTACTTGACTGTCTTCATTTGTCAAGATGATGTAGAGGACTGCAGCTTAGATATTACGTAGTCCGTTTTCATTTTCTTTTCGGGATTGCTTTTAACTTTTAGGCTCTATGCACCATTAAGGGAAATTGGACCTGCAGCTTTCCATATATCAAAAAGAAGGAAAATTGTTCTGGCGCATTATATCTGATTGTGCTAATAATTTGCAGGTTCCGAGTGACCAAAAGCTTCCATCACTTTATCTTTTAGACAGCATTGTAAAGAATATTGGGAGGGACTACATCAGGTACTTTGCTGCTAGACTACCCGAGGTAAGAATCTTTCTGCTGTAGTCTTTATTTACAATTATGCTTTATTCATGAGTAGGCATATGATTTTAGTTGCATATTTGAATGGTTATTACTTTTTGGTTTTTAAGTAAGAAATTGAAATAATTGATTAGTATCTGATGGATTGACTTTCCGTTTACTTGCACCTTGCTGCTTTCATCGTTATTGATTGTCTGCTTGTTTCACATAGTTTTAGTCGTCACTCCATTCGATCCTATGTGCATATTAGGTTTTCTGCAAGGCATATAGGCAAGTTGATTCTTCAGTCCATTCAGCCATGAGACACCTTTTCGGAACCTGGAAAGGAGTCTTTCATCCTCAGACTCTTCAATACATCGAAAGACAACTTGGCTTTGGATCTATGGGTAATGGTTCGTTGCCATCTACGACATCTAGGTCTGATTCACAGTCTCAACGCCCAGCACATAGTATTCATGTTAACCCCAAATATCTAGAGAGGCAGCGGCTTCAGCAGTCAAGCGGAGTAAGTGCAGTAGCAGTTTAAATAAAGAAATGGACTTTGGATTGAACATTCTTTATTTTTGCTTTCTTTTGCAATGATCATGGAAATAAAGGGGATAGCTTTTTATGGTCAGTGAAGGATGATGCTAGTTCTGATGTATTTATGTACTTGAAGAGAATTTCCGCTTATTTTTTGTTTTCCATTTTCGATTAAGGCAAAGGTAAATGATGTAGCTGGTGCTTTGGCAAGCTCATCTGAGGATTTAGAGAGGCTGGATGGAGCACCCAGTGTTAGTGGTGGACATACATGGGAGGATCCTCCAGTGAAAACGCAGGTAAGTCTAATATCTCTGACAATGCTGTTTTAGTTTGGAAAAATGAACTTTTATGCTTTTCCCCCGTTTGGTTGGTGTCTTGATACATAAAGTTTTCTCTAGAGCATTCAGCGTTTGCATAGAGATCCTCTTGGTGAAGCAGTTCAAGACAAGAACATAGGTGTAGCTTATGGAAATTATGACTATAGTTCTGATACGTCGAGAAGTTCAGCACTAGGAGCCGGAAGAATTGCTGGTAAGATTAGTGAGCAGGGACTCAGCAAGCCTTGGTATGGAACTGGAGGTAGTGTTACCCAATCACCATCCAGCCAAAGAAATGGATTTAGTGGGAAGCATGGGTTTTCGAGTTACCAGCCCTCTAAATCTGCTAGCGTTGATTCTCATCTTCAGCCATCACATGGCATCACAAATATAAGTGGTGGGATCTCTAGTAGCTGGAAGAACTCTGAGGAAGAAGAGTTCATGTGGGATTCTGTGGACCCTGGATCTATGGAGCGCGATGTAACCAACATCCCTAGTATCTCAAGAAAAGATCGTTGGACTCTCGATGGTCCGGAAGAAATGGTAAGCTCTTGGATGTGGATACTTTTTTGAATTTCAATTTCTTGTGCTCAAACTGCTATTTCATGTGATTGATTTTCCCCATATGCATCTTGATCACAGCCTACCGGTAAGTATGGGTGAAGTAAGAAGCATGAAACTTCATTATTTTATGAAGAAATCTCGCTTTTTGCTCAAATTGCTGTCAGTTTGTGACCAAAAGAAAAGTCGGTATTGGTTCTTACTAATACGTAGGAATTGGAAAGAAGTCTCTTATAGTTTTCTGAAGTACGTACTCTTGAGGATCAAAAGTTAGTACTTTTACCAAAAGAAAATGGTTTGTTCTTGTCTGATATAGCAGAGAGGAAAACTTTATGTCCATTCAGTCCTGTAATATTGAGAATCATTTTCTTGGACTAGCGTTTTTTCTCTTGTCACTAGTGCTTTGATTTATGAATCCTAGTTTTGTATTGGAAGATCTTAATTGCTATCTGCAGATAAATCCTTTCTACACCAAACTTTAGGCATTTGGATTGTTTTGTATTGAAATTTGCTGGTACGATCATAACGATTGTAATCATGGAAGTGTACTTACTTTTGCTATTGTACTTCCCAATTGGCTCGACGGGGCAAATATATTCCTGAAGAGAGGAGAAATCCTAGGTCAGTTCATGTACACAAGACGGCATTGTATCTGTTGACTAGGATAAATTTTTACTGTGCCATAAAATTCTTGTAGAGATGAAGGGGATAATATACCGTCTTTTTGCCTTGATTCCTAAGAGTTTCGCCTAGGTTTATGTTTTATTTTGCTTTTTAGTGGAATGAAGAAGATCTAATGTCACGCCTTTTTGTTTAGGAACTTTTTGTTCGATTCCTGACCTATAATTCTCTTAACAATACTCATATAGCACATACCTGCTGGCTAGTGGCCCAATGCAATTTCAGTTTTTCAGTGTTTCTCAGGTTTTGAATTATGCAAATGTTAGGTTACGTGTCCAGGTGCAGACTTATGAGCAAAATGTTCTATTTGCTATGCCTTAACTATAAAATGTGGTTCTAAATGGCAAGGATGCCTTAATTTCGATGTTTGTTTTTTCCTCCTTTGGTGCACTTCTTTGCTATTTATTTTCCTCAGTTCTAATTTGCAATTATAATGTGTAGGGATCAATATCTAATCTTGCAAAACCACTTTCAAAGGATGGATTTATACACACTGGAACTTCAAATAATTTAGGTGTAACAGAGGGTTACCCTGGTAGAATTGTTGGACTGTCATCAAGTACGAGTTCCTTTTCAAGGAGGGAAGTTGGATCAGAGATGAGATCTCCTAACATCAAAAGCCCCGGCTTTTCTCCTAGCGCAGCCCCCTCAGGAATCACAGGAAGCCAACGAATACAGTCTCTAGGGCCTGCATCACCTTCTGGACGGTCATTAGCATACCAGCATTCTCTTCCTACTTCTGACACACGCCTTACCCATCAAAAGTTGCAAACTTTGCCTGAGCAAAACTATCCGCGAGCACAAATGCTGCCTCGCACTGAGTTTAAGACAGCTCATCTGCCAGAAAAGTCAAGTGTAGGGCCAAATAACCTTTATAATCGGGATTCTACGTCTAAGTTTCGCCTCAAGGAATTGAAGCCTTCTCCTCCTTCTACACTACCTCTTCAAACAAGGCACCATCGTCCTCAGTTGCAGCAGGCACGATCTGAACCTGCAATGCCAGAGATATTAGGTCAGAATAAGAAGCCAATTCTCCCGCAAGTTTCTGAACGTGATGCTTCTTCTGCCCCAGAAACGTCAGGACAGTCGAGTAAGAGTAGTTTTTTGGCTGCCGATATTGAAGGTGGAGCTGTCTCTTGTGATGCTGCTGCTAGCCCACCAAGTGTGAGTGCTGTGGACACAAGGTCTCTGCCGTCACGAGTACTTTCCAAGCCTCCATCATTGACTGGGCCTCCCCCTATCAACTTGGTCTCTGATTTGGGTGCTTCATTGTCAACTCTCTTGGCATCTCGTCGTGATGACTCATCAATTTCGAGAGATGCATCTCAAGTGAAGGTGGGACTGCCACCAGTGCCACCAGGTCCTTCTCCAACTGTTGTTGACAATGCAGCCAGCAGGAGTTCTAGTGCAGTAGAAACAACCTTAAATCCAGTGTCGAGTCTCTTGAGCACATTAGTTGCAAAGGGTCTGATATCGACATCAAAGCCGGAGTCAACTTCCATACCTTCTCAAATGCCTATGCAAGTGCAGAACGAGGCCAAAGATAATGCCACTGCTGGATTTGGCCCAGATTCTTCAGCCTCAGTTTCAACAGCCGTGCCGGTATCCTCGACTGAAGACGAGGTACCTATTGTGGAGCAAGTTACGAAGAGCTCTGCTCCCTTGCCTCATTCGCCTAGGGAAATAAAGAACCTCATAGGTTTTGAGTTTAAGCCGTCTGTAGTTCGAGAGTTCAGTGAATCGGTGATCAGCGAACTCTTCGAGGACTTTCCACACAGGTGCGGCATCTGTGGTGTGCAATTAAAATGTCAAGAGCATCTAGATCTACACTTGGCTTGGCATGATTCAAAAGATCCTGAATCAAAAGGTTTACTTTTTCTGTCAAGGGGATGGTATCCAAACTTAACTGACTGGGTTTCTCGGAAAGTAGACCTTCCATCTGGATCTGAAAATTTTGTTTCGGAAGAAAAGAGTGGCGAGACAACTGAGATGCATGGCCCGATGGTTCCTGCAGATGAATCTCAGTGTGCTTGCATCTTATGTGGTGAGCTCTTTGATGATGTTTATAGCCTTGAAAGGGATGAGTGGATGTTCAAGGGAGCAGTCCACATGGATATCCCACCTGCGTGCGGTGCTATGAGCGGCATAAAAAACCAGAGTTCTCCTCAGGGTCCCATCGTCCATGCATCTTGCATATCAGAAAGTTCACTACAGGACCTGGGATTGGCCAATGATTTAAAGCTGGTGAGCTTCTCTATCTTCTGTCTCTTAGATTGGATATATGCATTTTGTTACAGTTGCAGTGGGTTCAGTTGGTGGATGTTTGTCTTCTCTGTCCTATGGGTGTAAAAAGCCTGTGTTGTCTCACCAGCTGATCTTTGCAATACTTTCTCTTGGTGTCATTGGACCTTAAGATCCAGGCTAAGATTATATTTTCAATCATTTAGCTCTGAACCTGCCTTCTCAGATAAGAAATGTGTTGCCCCTCCCCACATGCATAATACAGACAGAGATAATAATATGCATATCTGCTTATAAGGGGTCAATGTATCTCACTCTCACATGGTTATCATTGCTTTTGGTAGGAGAAGGATGCATAATGCTTGGGGTGTAGGAGCTGTTTGTATACCAGTGCACCATTGCCAAACGAAGCCAACTGAGGGAAATCAGGTTTGCTCCATGTGGGCCGAGAACTATGGCTTGCATTAAGCTAAATTTTGTTATGTTCCAAATGGCGCTGAGATCTGTTTCTTCTGCGTTGAAATTTTCTTGCCTGTAATGTCTATAGTCTGAAGGAAATACACACAGATATTTGTTTGCACCTCGATTTTTCCTTCACTAAAGTGGTTTCTATGTTGTTTCTCTCTCTCTCTCTCTCCTCTCTCTCTCTTGACTATGTGGAGGGGCTGTGCGGTTGGGGACTTGCATCTGATGCTTTATGCCCGGCACTTTGAGCCCTCTTGGTTATCCTCAAGTTGGATGGAATGTGAGCTTCGAGGCACTATTAGAAACATTGCACCGTCCCTTCTTTTCTGCAAAGATCATAGACCTTGTATCAATACATTGAGCGGCTTCTGAGGGTTTTTTTCTTTTTTCTTCTTTTTGCTAGTTTTCCCTTCTTTTAGTTGTATACAATGTTTCATCTCGTAGACCAATGTGGACTCGAGGTTTTTATTTCCCCTTGATAGTGAAGTGCCCTGGAGTTAATTATGTACTGTTTTTCACTTTTACTTGTACTTTTCCATTTAGAATTGCTAATAAGGACTCGTATGAGCTTCACTTTAGAGCTCAACGCCGGGGAGGCTCTACTAGTGGAATGGCTTTCTCTGTGCTTGAGAATTGTTATGTACCATTTATGTTCTTTCGTCAGATTGAATCACATTTATTCACCATTCTTCGTAGATGCCGTGTTAATGAGAATGAACCAGATTGTTGGTAATACAATTTACTAGCCGAGTGTGTGAAAATTTCAGTTGGTGGATTGTGATTGCGACATTGCGGTTCTTGAAAGAGTTGCTATGTTAGCCATCCTTTGAGAAATAGAGAAATGTGGAGCAATTGCTCGTGGAGTTGTTCCTTTGAACCTTCCCTAGACGTTTTTTTGCCTAATGTGTTGCATGGACGACTTTCTGGCACTTTGATGGTCGGACGCATCTTATCTTACAGGATGCGCATCGATTCTCGCATAGCTTGTACGAATTAGCTTTTGCTTTTGGTGTTTGCGACCCTTATTTTATTTTATTTAGACCTAATATCACTTGGCCGCCTTAACTTGAATCACGATTAAATCTTCACCATATATATCCGATAAGTAAGATAGCACATTTCTGATTAGGGTGCCTGAGTGAAACGATTCTGAATTTCTGACGACATCTTGAATCTGACCATTTGATGAGCTCAGAATTCCAAATAGAAACTCCAAGCTCCAGATGTTGATGTTTGCGGTAATACATCGGTGTGGAACGACGTGAACTCGTACTGATCAATCCTTTCAGAAGTTATAGATCGACAAGTTCCCGTTCGATACATTCACGTGAGTCCGGCGAGAGCAAAAGCATGAGCGCAATCGACCTTCGGTCCTCTTGAGTTTGCTCTTGCTATATATGGTGTATAGTTCTCTCTGTAGCATGCAAATAAAACTTCCCAACTACAAATCCATAAAGAGCAAAGTAGGGACTTGCCGAGAGCTTTCTGGTGGAGTAAAGACGAGAGCACTTAAAACCCAATTGAAGGCAGCAGATGATGGAAGCATGCAGGAACAGCACACGAGACGATTGCAAGATCATGTGTGGAGGCAAGGACACCAAAGGGAGAGACAAACTACAGAGGTTTTGGTTTGGTCGGTGGACACGTCCTTTGGGAAGTGTAAAACATAAGCATTTCACTTGCTCTCTCTCAAATGGAATCTTTCTTACAAATCATATATTTATTTATTTGCTTCTGTGCATAAAAAAGCCAACCCCTCCTGTCTTCTGGATTCCTCCCCAACACATAATAATACGCACAAGCCAACTGGTAGTAATAAAAAAAAAAACCGGTAGTAATAACTAGTAATACAAGTGTCGATCCAAATCATTTTTGTTTTTGGTTCCTTTTTTTTTAATAACATATGCTGGATTTTTCCCCACAGCTATGCTTGTCCTCTTTTCTAAGCTTTTAGATACATCACGTGATCACCGATTGATAGTTGTCAAGGCTTGTGATTCTGGGTGTAGATGTAATCCAAGTGAGCGTCTGCAATCATCCTTCTCTTAAGGCATTCTTCATCTTGGTCGCCGCACGACTCATCTGACTCCATCCCCATAAGCTGCAAAGTCAAATCCAAGCACCAAAAAGAAGAATCAGAAAGGAATCAAGAGGAGAGCCAAACAAAAGATAAATGAACTTGATGAATTTGATTGTTGATTCTTACATTTAGGAGATCAGTTGCTTCGGCGACTAGGTTGCCATCAGCCTCCTCTGGTTTTACTCCACTCAGGACAACTAAGACAAGTTCAAGAAACAAAATCTGATGAGCGCTTTTGTCGTGATACTCATGTAAACAGGAGCGAAAAGAAGATAAGAAGATACAAGACAGTAAGCTTTTTTACCTTGAGTAGCAGTCGACAAGGGACGAGCGAACGAGGAGGAGAACAGAAGAAAAGCAACTAAGAGAATCGAAGCGAGCCCACGAGCAGCAGCCTTCATCTTCTCTTCACGATCGTCCTGAGCTTTGAAGCGGGTCTCGTACGTTCTTGAAGCTCGTGTTGCTGTGAGCAGAGAGATAGAGAGAGAGAGAGAGAGAGAGAGAGAGAGATGATGAGGTTGAAGAAGCCTTTGGTCGTATAAATAAACATGAAAAGAGAGGCCCTTTGGTCCTACCACTTTCTTTTTCCATTTTTCTTCTTCTTTTTATTTGAAGATTACTACGAGAAAGTGAGTTGCCTCAATTTCACACAAAAAAAAATGACAGCCGGTTACCTGGGGGTAATTATTCGTTGAACTTTGTACATACATTAAGATAAAATTTAATCAATCATTAAGATATAACAAACTGTATATCGACCCGACCTGAATGTCGCCAGATACGATAATTCATATTCACTTCAATACGTGTGTTGAGTTTACCGAATAATTTAATTGACTTTCATTCATGGGCATGCACATCGAGACCGTAGTCTAATGAATCCATAGCAAAGCACTGTGTGGTCATCATATAGACTTTGTGGGTGGGAGTCATGTTGGTGGAGTTGTAGGCGAGACGAGATTAAGAAATTTTTTATTTATTTTAAAAGTTGTTGTCTCGTTTCATTCCATCTTTAGTCTAATCTAAATCTAGACCTAAATTTTTTGTTTTTTTTATATTGTGTTCTCATCTACAAAGTTAGAAAAGGAAAACAAAAAACGAAGAAAAGGAAGGATGGCATCATACGAGAGTGTTTACATGCGTCAACAAGTCAACCCTAGAGACCGTCAAAGGCCGACAGCTGTTTTGCAAACTCTTCCCGCATAAATTCTCGCATGTTTTGCACGGCTTCTAGTACCTTTCACTTCTGTTCTTCTTCCATTCTAGCTTTTGTTTCAATTTTTTTCTTTGTGCGTTTAGGTTAGGCGATTTGGCAAATTTTAATTTCAACGCGAGGACTAATCTTAGCTGTACAAGTCCTTAATTAGTGCACAAGGTCTAAAAAACATTAGTAGAAGACTCACTGATTATTCTTTTCATACATGGTCAAAAGATTGACGATGATGGTGGATCTCTAAATGTTTTTTCTAATTAGAGGGGGGCAAAATCTGTCAAAGATTATTTTGTAATTAATGTTGTGTTCTAGCGTTTAGGAGTACGGTGAAGACCAATGTTTGTCTATAGGGACTACATTTTCATAGCACTATAATTTGGTCATTGAACTTTATCAGTTTGTGGGAGAAAATTAAAATTGAGCTTAGTGCAAATTTAAAAGAAGACAACAATAGATTGAGCTTAGTGAAAAGAATAGAAAAAATTAATCGGCCGCAATGACGCGATAGGATCCTGTTCATATATCGATACGTGTACACATTCTAATTTTGATGATATTTCGCGTACACACATATGCGAAAAGATTCATCATGCTCGCGACATTGCATGTATGAATTAATGGTTTTTGTTCTCTCCTTTTCTTTTTCTGAAAACGCTAGTTAAAGTGGGAAGCTATCTAACTATTTTATGTCACGTTCACTTCTATCTTCCGAGAATACTAGTGTGAACCATGGGTTTCACACATGATGCGACCTTACGTAATATATGTCCGCTCAAACCCTGATTTATGATCGACTCCCCTTAGGTTTTACTGCATTTCTACGTCATCTTGACATGGCAACCTCTCTTGAAAAATTTAGTAGCATGAGACCTACTTTTTTTGCTTCACAGGACGCTAAAAGAGTTCCTTGCTCGAAGCTTTCGAGCGAAAAAGGAAAGAAAGCAAAGAAAAATGAAACGACTCGTCGGTTGAAGCTGTTGGGGGGCGACGTCATGAAGATTGGGCCATCTTGCTTCTGAATTTGGAAGAACTTTAGAGGCATTCGAATGCTTCTACGCATGTTCAAGCTACCCAATAAGACTGAACGACGATTCACACGCTAATCTCTGTCATTTTCCAGATTTGGGTGTTTTTCCGATTGCCATAAGGGCATGCTCGAGTTTGATGCGTGGGGAGAGAGCTAATGAGTAACGATCGCTTAATTAGTGCGCGCCCTTTATTATGAGCTTGTACCTAATGCTTAGTGATCATATCGGGGACTGATACGTTGCATCTTTGGATGAATGCATTTAGCATGTGTAGACGTGCTCTTGTTTTGATCATTTCGTTGTCACTTTATCTGTGAATAACGTGGGATGTCTAAATCTTTGGCTCGACTAATCGATGGAGGGAAAGTTGTCCTATTTTTATGAATCGGAATCTATCCAAGGGGAGGAAGGCTTAAGCCCCGTAAAGTGGAAGTCCTTATAATTCGAACGTAGATTTGCTTCATCGAGGTCAAGCACCTGACCTGTTAGCCAACTTTTGATGATCAGAGTGAAAATTAGGGTTTGTGTTATGTGTCCGATCGTTCATCTCTACTTAATATCGATATCCCGTAGCACACTATTTACTATCATTTTCTTTTAATTATTTTTGCTTTATCTTTTGTGATAACCCATTGTCCGAGCATAAAGGCCCAGCTATCTGGAAGTTCATGACATGTTATACTAATCCCATGAACTGGTTGAATGCAGGTCTTTGGCTTATGATGGTGGCCCTATTCAAGAGTACTTCGCATGCAGTTGGTGAAGTTTTAACCAGTGAGTCGGTGTTCCAAAATTGCAGACCCCGCGACACCCTAATCAGCTACACCTATGCCAGCCGGCCCTGCGGTTTATCCTCGTTCTATTTTCCACTAATCCAAACCGTTATTTTATAGCCTATGATCACACCTGCTTAATAAGTTTCTGAAGTAGTCCATAGGTCATTTCAATGATTAAAATTTGGCGACCGGCTGATTGTTTTGCTTGGGTTTTAGTGTAAGTATATGTTCATGTTCATACACCAGAGGAGTATCATATAATGGGGTTTCGCTTTTCTTTGACTATGCCGGATCAAGACAACCACGTACCGAAAAATTATGGAGTCCATTTGTCTGCTTGCGGGATTTATATGTCACTTTGAAAATATATACGTGAACCCCCGACAAAAAAGCATCGAGTTTAGACTTATACGACAATGAAGAGAGTTTTCAGTAAAGTAGCAACGGAAGGGTACCAAAGACAAGCTTCATAAACAGAGACGATTAATAATGCGATCCATGGATTTACGCTAAAGTAGAATGAACCCTTGGTAGTGGTTGTCGACACTATGTTTAGGATTACAGATATAGGTAATCTGAGAGAAGCTCAAAAGCAAATCTCGAGTGTATTCCTTCTGTCGTGATTGGTGGCTTCGTTGTGTCTTAGAAGCGAGTTCACCCTAACTTGAAAGTTACATAGTGGGGGCAAATATCATCTTGAGGAGAGTGATTACACATCTCAAAATCATTGATCTTCATTCATCTCACGTTTTGTTCGTGATTACACAATGGCAAACCAATACTCTCAGGGTATTTTTTAAGGGCCAAATAAATTGACGAGGCGTTCTAGTTCTAGCCATTAGATTGTTGTTGTTGATTGCCCGCCTTTTTACAAAAGGGGTAAATTCAAGATGTTAATTTCCTTGGACAAAAAAACCATTGGCTACTTCATCACGCATGACCAATGCATGATGTGTATACATTTCCCAACAATCAAACGCTCAAAACCCTAAAAAGACACTCTTATTGTGCAACCAATATGCAAAAACTAATGTATGAAAAGAATGCCACCACCATAAAAAGAAGACGACTTTCGTCCCAACGTCTTTGTCGCGACTGACTAGGTCTCCCCTAGTCTCTCCTATCATTCACATTTCTTAGGTCATCAAATGGGGTCACCAAAAGGGGTGGAATTAATAAAATTAAAACCACGGACGGACCCCAACGTCAATTGATGTTTTCTAAGTACGTCAATTATTCACACTGCTCTGTCGTCTAACGCTTGATTGAACCCCACCACACGAAAAACATGTTGATGTGAGACCAACGACCTGCGGACATTTTCTAGCAAAAAAAAACGACCTGCGGACATTGATTTGTACCCCATACGTTACAAAAAGCAGTGATTCTAGGTTTAATAATTTAACTGGCTCGGAGCGCGACAAGTGCATTTCAAGTCTTGAGTGATGAGATGTTTTGGTCCTCCACATTGTCATTTGGGATCTTCTTCTAACTTTGATGCAATAATAGAGAGAGTTCCTTTAGAAATTTTTGTTAAATTTGAGTAAGTTCTCTGGAAATGTTGTGAAGAGTCAAAAGGACTAAATCTTCTCGGGTCTCGTGCACAAAGATTGGCAAGTGTTCTTGTTGGGTACCTAATGCAGATAAGTGTAAATATTCTGAAATTTTCTAATCGCACGTCGTTATCAATCATCGTGGAGATGCATGAATTTGCGTCGACCTATCTTTATTTAGCGGACAAGACACACTTTGACCCGCACAGGAAATCATAGGTAATTGCGAGTTTGTGTGTGTTCGCCCCCCATCGGAGGGAGACAAATACATCAATGATGAACGTAAAAAGGTAAGATTACGATGATCCTGCGTAATTTTCGCAAGTGGTCACAGCACTTTTGGGTCACTTACATTAAGGTCACTGAATTATCATTTGATTCTTGATAACTTATTTTCTTTACAACTTGATTTAGCTAATTAGTATTAGTATCCGTCTATTATCACACAGGCAAACAAATGAAGCTCTGTGCCATCCTTCACAAAACAGTTGAAAAAAAGGAGAAACTTCGAAAATAAAAACAGGAGGAAGAAGAGAGGGTCCCTCAATGGAGGCAGAGGCCCTAGCTCTGGCAGTGCAACCCAGATATTAGGGTTCAATTTTCTTCTTGATTCTATTTTCTAAAGAAGGTGGTACATATGCCTTTTAAGGATGGAAGCTAGATTGACTTGATACTGGTCGCATACCACATATAAGCCCAACATTTTGGAGTATATTCCAAACTCGATTCAAACACCACTAGGGTTTCTCAATTGACAATCACAAATCCAATTCGATTAAATACGAGGGATCTCAGATACGTATAATCCGAACCTATCGCATTATACTCTTTTCTATAAAACTATCATGTCTTTGGAGAAATTCACACATATATAGATATCTAAACCACCACCGTATCACCAACATATGCTAGCCTAGTCCACCTTGTCTTCGCCATGTGAAATACGAGGGGAAAAGTATAAAAAAAGCTCTAAAACCTACTGCACTTATGTCAATTCAATCCTAAGTGTTTCAATCATGTTAATTGAGTCTCAAATCTTTTGACGACTTACCAATTTAGTCCATCCGGCTAATTTTGGCCGAAAATCGCTGATATGAACGCCGATCGTCCTACGTAGTATGGCTGGTGCTGAATTGGATAATTTTTTAAACTTTTTTAAACTTTTTAAAATTTTTATAAATTTATTATTATGATTTTTTGTTTTTTGTTTTCCTTTTCTTCTTTCTTCTCTTTCCTTTTTTTTTCTTTCCCAATTGTGGGCTGGCGTGGTCGCCGGCTAACCCTCGCCGGCCACAGATAAGGTATGGGCGAGGGCCTCTGCCCCTCGTTGGCCATGATGCCCTCGCCCATATCTAAGAGAGGGCTGCGACGCCCTCGCCAGAGTTATAAAAAGAAAAACAAAGAAGGAAAAGAAAAGAATAAAAAATCAAAAATAAAAAAATATTTAAAAATTATATAATTTATTTACGTCAGCGCCAGTCATGTCACAAAGGACAACCGGCGTCCATGTCTGAGATTTTAGGCCAAAATTGACCAAATGGACTACATTGACAACTCGTCTAAATGTTTATGAATAAATTGGCACAAGTGTAATAGTTTTATGAATTTTTTGGTACTTTTCTCTAAATAAGAGAGACTGGCGAGGACAACAAAGACGAAGGAGAAGAAGGGAAATACTGTATAGTGTCGAGGAAAAACTAACGTGGTTAAAAGATGAAAATATGTTGAAAGGTTTGACTAAAATTTACCTAAGGAGCAATATTTTTGTAGTTTTAGGATTCGTTCATTTTGCAGAAAACGATTTCCAAGAAAATATTTTTTTGGATTTTTCAGCGTTTGGTTCACGAAAAATAAATAAGTTAAGGAAAATATTTTTCTCTAATAGAAAAACCACCATCAAAAGTGGGGAAAATGATTTCCTCTTTTTGAAAAGGAGAGATAATTTTTCCTCCTGCTTCTTTCGCTCAGACCAATCATTTTCGCCCCTCTTTCGTTTTTATTATTTTATTTTTCTTTTCTTTTAAAAGAAGCAATTTTTTACTTATTATTTATTATAATTATTTCTTTCCTTTTCTTTTTCTTCTTGGAGCGTTGCCTGCCTCGTCGGCCTTGGGCAAGCTTGTCCCTCACTTGTGGCCGGTCGCCAACGGTCGCCGTGGCTAGCAACCGGCCGAGGAAGAAAAGGACAAAAAAATTAACAGAAAAAAGAAAAAAAATTAAAATTAAAGAATCGAATTTTTTGATAATTTTCCTAAGGAAAATCATACTAGATACCAAAAAGCGGAATACATTTTCTAGTTAATTTTCAGATTTCAATCGAATATTGAAAAATATCTTGAAAAAGGACTTTTATAAAATATTATTCAAAAATATTACATATTCTGCAAAATGAACAGAGTCCTAAAACTTACCAGGGATATTTTTGAAATAAACTAGCCGGGTTTTAGTTTCACCGTATCAACTAAACATATCTTTGACTCGTATCGAACCCTATGTAGAGTTCCTTCCATACACGGGACCCCAAATCCTTTCTATGTAGCTCGAAATTCGATAATGACTCATTAAAGTGCGAGCTTAGTTAGGAACCTAATCAATCTGGACCTGTTACCATCCCTAGCAATTAATGCATCAGCACCACGTGGCAAACATAATCCGAGTTAGGTGTTGACTTTTGATGGACAAGATCTAGACGTGAGAATCAGCAGCGACCTCAGCTTATCTGGGATTTGGTATGAGGTCGTCTTCCTCAAATCTCATCGTTTCTCCGATTGCTATGACACGTTTTCACGAACTCTTTGATTACATGCGCTTATTATACCAAGTGATTTTGTGTCCACGCGTGATGATATGCCCCATGCACGCCTGACCCCCCACACCCTTCTTGTTCTTACCCAGAATGGTCATCTTGGTTTTTGACAGAGGGTACCGAAAAAACAAAACATAAACAGTAGATAGAGTGGCTTCAGGAAATATTACTAAACAAGTTTTAAATTTATTGTATTTGTGCTATTTCAGTCCTAAATATTTTAATTAGATTAATTTAGCCTCAAACCTTTTAATGATTAGCCAATGTAGTCCTCCTGGTAGTAGTGTCGCGTAGGACGGCCGACGTTGATGTTGATAATTTTTTTTTATTTTTTTTCCTTTTTTTTTTCTTATTCTTTTCCTTTTTTTTTTCCTACCGAACAAGGCAAGGGTCAGCCAGTCCTCGCTTGTGACCAGCGAGGGTCGGCTAACGGCCCTTGCCAAGCTTTGAAGAAAAAAAAGGAAAAGAAAGAAAGAAAAGAAAAGAAAAAAATTAAAAAGTGCAATAGAATGGCTAGCGTCTCGTGCCACGTAGGACAGCTAGTGTTTACGTCATCAATTTTTGGCTAAAATTAGCCAGATTGACTCAACTGGCAAAATGGGAAAATGTTTATGATTCAATTGTCACAATTGAAAGGTTTATGACTGAATTTACATAAGTGCAATAGGTTTAAACCTTTTTTGGTAATATCCCCAATTGCTTTATGGAATGCACATGATAGGACATTAAGAATCAGAGTGAAAGAAATGCTTATCGAAAAACTCGAGTATATTATAAGTTTGTAACCCCACGATGGATGTACTTGATTAGATATGGAGAATATACAACTCAACGATTGAAGGCCATTTGTTCAAATCTTACAAATTGCGTGCAAACTACTTTGGGTTTGGATCAAATGCCCAAGGCTCAAAACCTAAATATAAC